TGAACAATTTAAACGACATTCAATATGTTGCAATATAATATTTATATTTAATTAAAATATAATTATTTAATAAAATATTCAACAAATTCTTATTGAATTTCTGCTGCAGTAACTTATTTTCTTTCGATTTATTTATTTTAGTAACTCAATTACTTTGTTATTATTATCTTTTTTTTTAATTTTTTTTTATATTTTTCGTTGAATTAATAACTTTTTTTATAATTAATTTTATTTTATTTTTCGTTTTTTAAGTTATAAGTTGATTGATAATTATATATTATATATATTATTATATTAATTTTTTATTTAATATAATACAAATATATTTTTTTTGTATTTTTCCTTTTGTTTCTTAATTTGTTAAAACTAACGGGAATAGATAGTACCACTCTTACTCAATTAGTTTATTAACGAAACATTTCAAACTAATTCAAAACGACAAATTTAGGGAGTCTCATGCAAGACACTTTTCACCTCTCACACTTCCACTCTGAAAAAAAATATTTTCTTTCTAAAATTCATAAATCGAAAATTAAATTATCTTTATTAAAAATCTCAAGACCTGCTAGAAACACATGATAAATTTTATAAATGTTAAGCAAATAATAATTTATTAATATTTATAATTTGCTTATTTTAATTTCTTTCTTAATTTTTTTTTTCATTTAATAATACAGTTATTATATTTTTATTATTTCCTATTTTTTTAGTTTTTATTTTTGTAACTAAGTTTTTAGTTTTCCAAGTGACAGCGATAATATTATTCAAAAAGAAAAAACAATTAGTGAGTCTCATGCTGATTTTTGGTCACACATTTTCACTCCAAAATAAAAAATCTTTTATCGTTTTCATTTTAAATTCGCAAATTAAAAAAAAAAGTTTTTGATTTCTTAAAATCGTAAGACCTGAACGGAAAATATACGTAAGAATTCTTAGAAAAGCAGTAGAAACCCTCATAATTCTCATTTCTTGTTTGCCTTAAAGTCGATTTCTTTCATTGGAATTGTATCCACACAATGGACAATTCTAGTTCAATTTATTTTTGTTTTCCTTGTGTTTTTTTTCTTTTTGTTAATTAAGGTTTCCTTTAGCCTGAAGTAAACGTAAGTAATTTTTTTTATTATTTTTTAGTTTTTTTTTTTTGTCTAGTATTGTATTTACCTAATACCGTTCTTCGCAAACAGAAAAATTTTAAACAGAAGCGATTTAGATTCTTTGTTGGTCTTAAAGCCGAATTTAATCGTTTGTTTAAAAACAAGAATAAATAACTTATGCAAATCTAGAACTTTATGCTTAAGCTTGGTTTTTTGTTGGTAATTTCTGTTCAAATTTATTCCGATCGTTATTGGGTCATTTGTAGAGGTCAGTCAGATATTAAAGAGATTAGAGTTAAAGTTCTACAAAATATGGAGGCCATGACTCGCAGAAATTTCAGTAATTCTAAAACGTAGCCCAAGAAAGAAATCAAATAAAAAGAAAATATAAAAATTGATTTTAATTAAAATTAAAATATTTTAGAAAATTTTCACAATGAAGAAGTTAATTCAAGCAATACATTATTATATATATGGAAAGAAATATCAGTTGGCAATTTGCGAAAAGAATTTAAACATTTTATGAGCTATCTATAAATACTCAACCATAAAATGAGTTTAGAACTAGTGTTGAAAAATTAATTTTACAAATAATTGATATTTTTTTAAGAATTCGCCCATTATTAAAGGTTTAGACCCCCTATAACTTTACCAATTTATACATGGCTGTGCTTGGTATTCAGAGTGTATTAGGTCTGTTTAGCTAACGGTTTTATGTAACAGCATAAAAAATCGATGTATAGAAATCACATCTATTATAGACATATAAACATATAATTATATCAAACTTCATGGAATTGCGAAACGTAAATCGATTCATCTATCTGTCTGTTAGTCGATGTGCACGATAACTCAAGTTGGGAATGAGATATTTTAATAAAACTTGGTTCTTTGGGTCACAAGTATTGACATTATGCCCACTTTAATATAACGGTAATCGCGGTAGCCGAGTGGTTAGCACTGCGTACTGCTAATCGGAAGGCTCGAGTTCAAGTGCTGGTATTGTCCTGGGATCCAAAAAGTTATTGAAAATATTTAAAATAAAGAATTTATTTAAATTTTCTAATTGCAATCTTCCCTCGACTGAGAATGTCAACCCCTCCGAGTATATTTCTGATACGTAACAAAGGCTTCTCATAAAAAAATAAACCGTTCGTAGCGGGATTAGTATAAACTGAAGGTCCCTCTATTTGTTAGAAAAACAACAAGATGCAAAACCACAAATTTGAGGAGGAGCTCATCGCTCCGGTTACTAAGCGCCAATTAACCAAGAGTACAAATAAAATCATATGAGTGGTGGGAAAAAAGTCTCGGATGGGTATGGCAGCAGTCATTTTTGCGACAAAAATATATTTCAGATACCAAAGACCCGTAGACGGAATGCGAAACAATTTTTTATTGATATTTCCCAAATTTTATATATAATGGATTGTTACATACCACCTTTAGCTTGAGTCAAGACTGAATATTTAAGCTTCAGAATCAAGCAAACTTGATAGATATATTAAAAAAAAGAAATATCTTAAAACAGAGCTTAAATAAGGAGCTCTTTACACAGAGCTTTTAATTTAATTTTTAAAGAGTTGGTGGCGGAAAAAAACCTAGCACATGCAATACCATAAAATCAGTTTTTTAGTGACCGGAATTGAAAATTTACCTCAGCTAGATCAACTCAAATCAACTACAGAAAATTAAAAATATTTTCTCAATATACATAGAGAAACTTAAGCAAAATTTACAACATAAAAAAATCTTAATTAAAAAATTTGTTATCCAAAAAAATATAATAAAAGGCTATTCATTTCGTGGTCTCAAAAGTCAAATGACGCCTTGCTAGTTGAAGCTTGTATGAAAATGGATCGCTTACCAACCGCAGAATGCGTCAAAGTTGCCAAAACCTATTACAAAGATGGTGAATTAAACGTGGAGACGTTTCGTGCTTTAAGAGGAGAATGAAGTACACAAAAGCTTCCACAATATTTTAGAGAAATTTGAATAAGCGAGGATAGTTACAGATAATGTAAGGCCTCTGGATCATCATTTTGCTCATTTCATTTCAAATATTGCTGCTTTACTGTTTAGTGCGCTGCTTGCTATGATATTAACAACACACTTCAGTTTTAACATTTAACATTAGCTGTTAGAGATCTAACATTATCTGTTTATGATTTAACATTATCTGTTAACGATTTAACATTTTCTGTTAACGATTTAACATTAACGAAGGCATTTCGTTTCTGTTCAAAATTAAATAGAATTTAGTTTGATGACTGCTTAAAGGGTAACATTTTCAAATGTTTTAACCGTATCGATCGAATTTTTAAACTTTATACTTTGTGGTTTTTGTGCGAATTTTTTGTCTGGATTGTGTTGTTTTTGCGCTATGTTTTGCCGAGTTTGGATTATGTCTCTTGAGCTTTTGTTTCATGCGACTTTGTTTATTGTTGTTCATTATAAATCCTAATCCCAAATTAGTTTAATGAAAATTCATGTAAAAAGAGAAAACATATGTAAATAGACTTGCAGCCGCGAAAATCAGTTTTAAAACACAAAAACATTTGTAATGCCATAATTTTTTAAACAAAACTAAAGAAGCTGAAAAAGGTTGCGCCGTCGTTTCCCCTGCTAAACCCGCTTCAATTAACAACGCATGCATTTATGCTTTTATTCATTTATATATATATATTCTCTGTGTATATATTCAATATCTTTGCGCTCTTATAACATAACAAAAATTAAATTCTACATACCTACAAAATAGTTACATTTATAAAATATTCAATAAAGATATACATACAATAATAAAAAATAAATCGCACACAATTATTAAAAACAAATATTTCACAATAATACAAAATACAAGCTTTACTACAAAAACAACACAACATCAAAATATGTAATTTACTAAACAGCGGCAAATAAACAAACAAAAAAAAGGAATTAAAATTAAAATTTCTAAAAAATAATAATTTTCTAACAATTACAATAATTACAATAATAATACATTTGGAAAAAATAATACAGTGTAAATATATAATACATATTTTGATGTACAAATATACGAATACAAAAACCAATGCACATTTACGGTGCGTGATGGTGCGTTTGTGCTTTGATTTCTTGTTTCTTTCTAAGTTTTTTTTTTATTTGTTTGTTGCTTTTCTTGCGTGTGTGAGTATGTGATTTCGCTTAAATACTAATGTTTGCTTTTTGGTCCAATACAGTTGCAGTGTTATACAAATAAAATAAATAAGGAAATACATACGTACAAGTTAAGGTGAGGGGGTGTCTAAGGTGAGGGGTGTTTGGTAGTGTGGGGTGTAAATAAAAAGTATGCATAATAGCATATGAGGTGATTTATGCACAAAAAACTTTCAATCTTAGCAAAAATTGTAAAAATGTTCTAAAAAAAAAAAATATCAATAAATTTTATATAAAAATGTGCCAAAAGCGAGTCTAAAATACTATAATTTTCATAGGAATTTTCAAATATTATTTAAGCAATTGTTAAAGAAAAAATGTTGTGAACATTGAAAAATATAAAAAAAATTTAAATAAGAAAGCACTGAGTTTTAATAAAATTTAAATTAAATAAATAGTAAACATTTTTTATGCGGCATGTCAATTATGTAGTATGTTAAAAAAGAGGCGCAGCAAAATTATTACAAAAACAAAAAATTGCTGACCAGAGCTGCCGACGCTACCGCTCAACTGCCATGCTTACATACCTACAAACATATACAAATAATATATATTTACATAAGTACATATGTGTATATATGTTGCTTGGTTGAGTTTTGTTTCATATGCATAATTTTCACACGCACACACACACCTACATAATATCGAACAATCTCAATGTGTGTGCTCAATGATTGGGTGAGGTTATAATTTTTTTTTTTTTTTTGTGTGGGAGGGAGAGTAGTTTTAAAGAATTATATATGTATGTATATGTACTTAGAATGGACGCCTTAACTTTGCAATGGCATTTGTCAAATGCAGGATTTCCGTATTCATTTGTTGCACCAACGTATCCAACTTATCGACGGAGTCTAAAATTTCAACGCGTTCTGTGTGTGGGTTGAAGCGCACCTCGAATGGACGTGACATGGTCGACACCCAACGACGGAACTTATCTTTGGCATCTTCGAAACTCTCGGCGACATAGTAGATGGGTTGGTACTCCTGATCCTGGTAGGGTTGAACGGCAGTGGAGGCTGGTTCGAAGGCGCGATGTTCGCACTTGTCGCTAATGGCGTGCAAAAGTTCACCGTAGGATGAGAGCAGACCAGCGCCGTAGGCTTTCACTTGACCGTGTTCCTTGCAGAGACCGAACTCAACGGTGAACCAGTAGACCTGTGTGCGGCGAAGGGGTAAAGGAGAAAAGAGAGAAAGGGTTTACGTCAGTTGTGGTTGTGGTAAAAATATATATGTTTATTACTTTTGCAGCATATGTGGGAGTATGTGAGAATGTGTATGGGAAAATCGGTAATTGAAAATGGAAAACTTGACACTGACGCTTGGCCTTTACTACAACAATGAATGGCACAGGGCCACACTCAGCGCGCTCTCATGCGCGCGCTTGTCATGTATGTGTGTGTTATTTAGCAAAATCAACGTTTCTGACCTCAATCACTGACGATTGCCAAGCGCGACAGCCGCTACTTTGGCGATTTAGCATTGTATGAATGTTTATAAGTAAACTAGTCGCTCATATATGGTTATACGTAACTAATTCTTTTTTTCTTTTTTTTTTTTTTGTAATGACTTCTGCACGTTCTTGGCGTTGGTTAGTGCTCATTAGAATTTTTGGCTACCCAAAATACACATGCCTTTTTCTATTGGCTTTGGCATTCGCGTAGTTGGAGTTTGTGTAAGTTTACATCGCGCAGGCGCAAGGCCATCAGCGATCCACAAGCAGCTTTCGTAAATTCAAGTCAAGATTAAGACAAGTTCTGGCGCAAATAATTGCAGCAATGCACTTACCCTCCCAGCACATTGTCGTGCTGCCAAGCGCACGAACTTGAATTAAGCGGACACCAAACGTTTTTATTATTATTATTTTTTTTTTTCTATTTTAGCGACAACGCAAGCAGGCACTTCAACTTGGCTTAGAAAACACACTTAAGCTGGCGCGTAACGACTCATGCATGCATGGTCAGTGTGATGGCGACGGTGAGGGTGACGGCGAAGGCAAAAGCTCATGTGCGCTGTTAGCTATGGACGTTGGACTGTCAGTTTTCGTCTATGTGCCAATGAAATGTATTGGCAGTATAGCCTGGCAAGCGCAGCGCTCACGAACGATGGGGTGGCGACTATGCTTAAGTGAGCGCGCGCGCGCGCGCTTTACGACCAGCGCTCAGCAGCCACTAAAACTCGCAAGAGTGGCCACTAAAAAATAACTGAATTGCCAAATAAAACGAACATTTAGACAAATTAAATTGTAAATATTAATGTTATTATTGCCGCCTTTGTTGGCCGAATGGTTAGCTGCCTGCCTGCCAGATGGATTTTTTTTTTGCGACTATGTAACCAGTTGTTCATGGTGGTCAGTTGACTTTTCAAATCGAAATTTGTTTGAATAACCGATTTTTGTAATATCGCATTTTGTTGTAGCTGTTGCTGGAAAGATTGCGTCAAGGCTAATAGCGTTTAGTGACAGTGCGAATAAGCGTGCGCTGTCTGCGCTGTTATGTGACATGAGAATTCTAATACTTTTTGTATTTACAAGTTAAATGTATATGTGTAAATGTTATACTTACAGTGGACAATTTTTCAATTTCATCATCGGAGGCACCCAACGAAGCCAAACCGATCTCTTGCGAGAACTGTGCGAAGCTGGGATCGGCTAAGAGTGGCATATGGCCGAGCAATTCGTGAATGCAGTCACTGGAATGGAATGGAGGAAAATAAAATGAAATTTATTATTTAATAAAACGAAGAAAATTAACGAAAAAATAAAATATTTATAATTTTGATAATCAAGTATCTAAAAGCGAATATTCAACACTTTGCCTAAATACTGTTAAATTGCCCCTGAGTGTCGTATTAAAAATATATATGCAAGTATTTATTATATATGCTTGTGAGCAACATAACTCCCCCCCCCTACTTAGAAAATATTCTTATTTCCATAATAGCTAATTAAATGCTTCATTTGTGACTCAATCAAAATTAAGGTAAATTGCTTTTTTCAACACATTCGCTTCACCCGCCTGCCCGCATGCTCGCAAGCAAGCAACAGCACTTGCTACCGGTCACTTAGAAAGCGTTCGCTCTTGCCTAACCGTTTAAACTTAGTTATATGTATATTCCTAAATTAATTATCATCCGGTAATGGAGCTGTCCTGCACTTAAAGTGTGCTAAAGTCCCAGCAATCGTGCGCAAAAATATGATTTTCATATAGCACAGCAATAAAGCAACTCAGCCCTAACCTCATTTGGTGCCAAACTCAACTCTTCGTCGTCGACAAAAATAGCTCAACAGTTGCTGTAGGAGTGAGCTGTCAGGGGCAATTATGTATGAGCTTCCGTCACGCCAACGGAACCCAAGTTGCCATCAGCCCGCCACTGCCTCTTGTTATGTACCGCACAGAGAGCACGGGCTTTGTGGTGGTTGTCACATGAAAGCATATTTCCTGTTAAATGAAATTAGTGCATTTTCCTTTGTACTTGCCGGGTGCCGTGTCTGCCGATGCTTAAGTTAATTTGAGGCAACAACAATGCGTAACAATGCGTAAAAATGGCAGACGGAAGGAAAAATTACAAAGCTTGAGTGCACACATAGAGAACTCAGCTAGAAGTGTGCAAAACTACTAGCGAAACTTTTTCGACATTTACACAGAAACCTCAACATTCTCCATCTGCACAGCAAATAAAACTACTATTCAATGTGTAAGGTAGTGAGCGAGAGACTTACGGTTCGGGTGTGTGGTATGGTGAGTTGACGTGACGCACATATTGTGTGCTCTGGAAAATGCGGAATGCCAACGAAGCGAGGAAGTCACGTGCGGTCAAGAGACCGGCAGCGGGCCGGAGTGTGAAACCGGTGTTGCGACGCAAAAAGTCTGACATCTCTTGTAACTGGGGCAGACGGTGTTCGACAAAGATCTCCTCATCGCGCAATTTCTGGAAAGCAGCACGATACTCCTGGCAGGCGTGTTTCTTCGACAAATCGATGACTGTCAAGAGCACCGAACGCCAAGTCTTAATCTCAACATCGGTATATTCGATGTGTGGGATTGCATCGCCGTATTTGTAAGCGAAAGCGATTTCGGCAATCTCCTTACGACGTTGACGATAGACTTTATCAGCAAAACCAGGATGGTTCATATCCAAATCGGGTTCGTATTTGGTCATCAAATGATTGCAGTTATCCAATTCGGAGGCATGCTTGGGGAACCATGGTGCCTTTACGCTGATGTTATGTTCGGCCAACAAGCTGATGCTATTGAACGAGCCCGATTGACGCAATGAGCGTATGAGTTGCAATAGATTGCCACGTGTCATGTCGACCTTGATGAGTGCATCATGCTCAACACCCTGTTCGCGGGAGACACGCGACTCAACATGTTGTACGGCGCCCTTGAAGGTTTCGATCGCCTTCAAAATGCGACCCAGCGAAGAGATGCCCTCCTTGAGGCGTACAATGATTGCAGCGCTCTGCATGGCATTCTCCGCTTCGGTCGATTCGGCGGCGGCATTGGCAAGCAATACTTCCTCCTCGGTAAGACCGGCATCTGTGCGTGGGTAACAGTGGAGAGAGAGAGAGAGAGAGAGAGGGAGAGAGAGAAAAGTAGAACAAATCAGTATGTGTTAATAAAATATAATAAAATATAATAAAATAATAGTTCTGTTGGCATATTCTATTTTAGTTTACATTATGAAATATGAGCATTAGAGGAATGGGATTGTCAAACAAATCCGCTTTGCATGCTAAGCACGAATTATACAAGAGCGCTTTGTGTGCATGTCACTTGCGCTCACAAGGACGAAGCATGAGAGCTTATAGGTGATGTCAGTGGTTGACAAATTTCAGCACATTACAGCAGCGCCTTAAGCGGCTTGCGGCTTCCAGCTCGCGTCTATAGTGGGGATAATTGGGTTAGTTGAAGAAATTGCAAATCGGCTTTTGTCAAAGCGTAGAAAAAAACATCATTTTTCTGTACTCTGCCCCATCAACCATTGTTGTTGTGAAATGAAGCGCATAAGTTGCGCCTTTTATCATCGCCATTTGACGGCTCAAACGCTACACAAATACATAATAAAATCAGCGCAATAAAAATAGCTGAAAAATTATGGCAAATGGAAATGGAAATGTTAAAAGGAAATGTGCGATTTTCACATTTTAAAAGTTGTGTGTACGTGCGGTGCGTTGCCGACACACAAGAACATATCAATTTTTACCCCCACAGTGGGGTAAGCGTATTAAGTGGTGTTTGTATGTATGCATGTATGTATGCTTAAGTGCCTGATGATGCTTCATCATAATCATAATGCATTTGGCAGTGGTACTTTTCGGATTGTGACTTCATGACTTGTGCCCTAACACTTTATGACTTCGGCGTCGTCTTTCAACAACTAACTGTTGCTTACCATTTGAGTTGTTGGTGTTATTGCCATTGCCGTTGCCCTCACCCGGTGCAGTAGCGCCCAATGAGGCGTTATTGGTTTCATTGAGGATTTCTAAGTTGTTCGCAAGTGAAAATGAAATAAAAATAAAAGAAAAATATGGAAATCAATAAAAATCAAAATGATTATATAAAAAATAATAAAAATAAAATTTAATTTAAGTGAAATTTGAAAAACTAATATTCAAAATATTATAAAATTACATAAAATCTATTTAAAAAATTAAATTAAAATGTGAAAAAATAAAAATTAAAAAAATTTAAAAAAAAATTAGTAACAAAAAATAAAAATACTAATAATTAAAATAAAAATGCGCTGTTAAAGTACCTGCTGAGATTTCATGTACTTCAGCTGGAATTTCGACATTTTCGACTGACTGATCGGCTTGCAATTCGATTTCTTGCTCAAGAGGAGCGCCTTTAGCTTGTTGGATGCATTGCTCCAAAGTGGCTTCGTCTGATTGTTAATAAATAAATAAATAAAATAAAATAAATAAATTAACAAATACTTAAATTAAAAGTATAAAAATAATATAAGAACCAATTTAAAAAAATATGCAAAGATTTTCGAAAAAGGAAAATAAAAATTTTGAAATATTTTCTACGATTTTTCTTAATTTTTTTTTAAATTTTCCGCTACTCATTTGAGTTTTGACAATTTTTTTTATAATTTACATTTTCCCATGTCATTCTCTTGCATATTTAGCATTATTCCTCTTTTTATATGTATGTATATATAAATATTATTTTTCCTGTAACTCACCATTGTTCTTTTGGCGCGCTTCCTCCAGCACGGTTTGTTTATTTTGCTTAACAACCAGACTTTCAAAGCGTGCATCGTCCACCAACGAGCGACGGCGTGATGGATAGCCATTCTGTAATTACCAAAATAAAAAGTTAAAAATTAAATTTTAATTATTTTTTCCAATCAAATTTACTAAATTAACCCACATTTTTGTTGAAAAATAATTAAACAAAATTTTTTTTATGCAAAAATTTAATCTTCTTAAATATCAGTTTTAATCAAATTCACAACTTTTATCGCCAGCACCCACCCTAATGCTTGTCAAACACCCGCCTAATGCGTTGCCATTGGCTAAAAAGCTTTTAAGCATCTTTTCCACTCAAATTACCAAGCAGCGAGCGTTGGCGTTTGATTGAGTGATTATGCGTGGTCAGATTGGGGGTGGCAAGCAGGCACACACTTGAAGTCACTTGATGACATTTTGTGTGAGTCTATTTTTATATGTGTGCTCGTGCGTGTGCCTGACATTCGCACTAAGGCACTAAAAAAGCGGATATGAGCGGGAAATTGGCGCATCAGTAGCAGCTTAAAATGCTTTGAAAGCAGAATTATATAGTTATGAATGCCAGCAGAGCTTATGAAGGGGCGTAAGGCTGGATTTGAGATGAAGAGCAATAAATATTTAACAATAAAATTAAAAAAAAATTATTATATATAGAAAAAATTTAAGAAAAAACCAAAAAAAAAAATTTAAGAAAATTGAAATTTAGAAAAATTAAAAAAAAATATTAAATATTTAACATAAAACTAAAATTAAAAGTAAAATAAAAAAAATTAAATTAAAAGTAAAATAAAAAAATCGTATTTTTATTATTTTCAATAATGTTTTTAAATAATTTATTTTATATTTTTTTTTTTAAGCTAATATTTAATATAATTTTATCCCAGCTTTCGGCACATTTGTTTACATTTTTTCTGGTTACTGGAATTTTACCAATTTTTGCCTACTTGAAGCTTATGCAATGACGTATTTTCTTTACTCTCTCCCTGATCATCACTCTATCTCTCTTTTTCACTTTCTCTCTCTTTTCCTCTCTCTCTCTCTCTCTGTGTGTGTGTAACACCGATCTTTTTTATTGTTTGTTTGTTTTTTGTTTACGATATGACACAATTTAACAATACAATTATGTGCATATGCACGTACAACAACACCAGCAAGTATGCATTTCATCACAGACAGACAAAGTGGCAGACAACAGCCACAGCCTCTGACAAACTGACCAAACACATTGTCAACGGTAATAATTATTATTGGCCCAATACTCTACTGAACTGAAATCGACCAAAAATGTTGTATGGTGAAACAGTGATGCGCTTTGTATGCGCGTTTGTTGTTGTTGCTGCTGCTATTGTCATTTTTTCATTTTTCATGGCAGCCGGTTACAAAATTACAATGATTGGCTGCTCAATGTTGTTGTTGTTGGCAGTTGGGTCGTTGAAAACGAAAGTAGTAATGAATGAGTGATGCCGAGTTTTAGCGCTCTTTAAAGTGAAGACTAATTTTTTTTTCATTTTTATATTTTTTTATTTAAATTTTTTTTTTAATTGTTTCTTGTTATGTTTTCAAAAAATCCAGCGCACACGCTGCATGTCAACAGCAGTTCAGCAAATAAAAATAATAAAAATCAATTAAATCATTTAAAAAAATTTACCGGCAAAAAACTGGTTTTCCGCTCCAAAAAAAAAAAGAAAAAAATACAAAGTCACAAAAATTGATGGCAAATTAAAAAGACTAAGCGAAAAAAACAATTTGCATATTTCGTTTTTTATGCTACTGCTCTGCTGTTTATATTGGCTTGCGTGTTGTACGCGCATGCGTGCACGACACAAAAGTGTTTGCCCTTTGAAATCTCAAAGATTAAAAATTGATTTAATGAAAACACAAATCATCATATACAGTTGTATTAAGTAAGCGTTTGTTTTCGTTTTTTTTCTCCATTTTCTACTTCTGCTTCGTCTTCTTTTCTTGTTCGAACCACTATCAGTGTTTGTATGAACTTTCGTTCAAAATCTTATATGACACTGTTAAATCAAGTTGTCAAATGAGCACGCTTACGTATTGCGTGTGGCTTGTGGAGGTATTTTGACAGCTTAAAGTGTTAAGATTGTATAAATTTGTTTATAAATGAGATGGCAAAGTGTCTGTACGAGCTGAAGTCATTATTGAGTAGTTTTCAAGCGCCAACAATGGGATTTAAGGCATTATATTTAAGTAATAAATATATTTATACAATATTTATCTTTTTTTTTTTTTTTTTTTTTTTTTTTTTTTTTTTTTTTTTTTTTTTTTTTTTTTTTTTTTTTTTTTTTTTTTTTTTTTTTTTTTTTTTTTTTTTTTTTNTTTCATGAATATCTGGAAATTTTTTTTTTTTTTTTTTTTTTTTTTTTTTTTTTTTTGTTTTTTTGTTTGTTTCAATGACCTTCGACAGCACCTGTCAAGGCACATTTTGGGCACACGGGTCGCTCACGTAGAAAAGGCTGATGAAAGAGTGACTAGGTTTTGTATCAGCCACGAGCGTTGGTATATTTAAATTGAAAATAAAAAAAATATTTAACCGAAAAAAATATTTAAATGCTCAAAATTGACTAATAATAATTACTCCCTTCGCTAAATAACATGCAATAATTTTCTTCTTCTTTTTTTTTTGTTGTTTTAATTCATAAGTTTGTGTTGCTGGATTACTTGCATATTTTTTTAGTAAAAATTTGTTTTCCTCTTTTTTTTATTTTTTTTTAAGTTTTATGCTTTTATATTATATGTTGCTGCCTCATCGTTATCTCAGCGCATCTCTTGAGCCGAGCAATTGCCGTGGTGCACATCCACTTTCACTCTTAACTGTTTTTTTTTTTTAATATTTTGTTATTGTATTGTTGTTTTATATATTGTCACTATGATGTCACAGCGCTTTTTTTTTTTGGATGTTTACTATACAAAACCTAAAAGTCGTGAGAAAATTTTGAAATTTGTTGAAATTCATCAAAGAGTGTCTGGGATGGCAATTGGACTTTTATGATAATTAAAAAAAAATTATATACACATATGTATATTGGTAAAATAATTTAGCTGGCTAGCATCTGTCACGTAGGCCAATTGGTTCATATATGTATGTTTGTATGTGCCACATACGCAATAGCTTTGACATTGATTTTTGAAATCTTAGGGGATTTTCGCAATTCGAAATTATTTAGTTATGAATTGAGGAAACAAAGAAGTGAAAAAAATAAGTAAATAAAAAAATTCCAATATATATTTTATGCAAATATATGTATGTACATAGCGGCAGAAATGCAAATTAATAATGAAGAAGTTTTAATATTTTTCATTGAAATAATATTAAATAATTGTTATTAAATTCAAATCTTTTCGGTGTGCTTCAGTAAAAAGTAATAAATTTGGTCGGAAAATGATTTTGGTTGAAAAAATTATAATTTCCAATTTTCTTAGATTTTAATTAAAAGAAAAATTATTAAAGCCAGCGAAGCTTAATCCGATAGAAATATTAATAAAAATAAATTCTAAATTTGTCTAATTAAATTCATTTTATATTTGTTCCACATATTTTTTAAGAAATTAATTTTGTTTAAAAAAAAATAAAATAAATTATTTAAATTAAGACAGAAATTATTTTACCGCACAACACAACAACATCAACACAAAAAGTCTCAAATTGCATTTTAAATTAAATTTTAACCAATTGTTTAGTTCCAAATATTCTTTTATAAAATGATATTTGTTTATAAAAAATAAAAAAAAAAAGTTATTTAACTTAATTGCATAAGACTTAAAAAAGTTTAGCTCTTTACAAACATTAATAAAACAATACTAAATTTGCCGAATTAAATTATTTTTATATTGAATTATTTAGTTCAAAATTTTATTTTTTAAAATGAATTTTCTTGAAAAAAAAATTTAAAATAAATTATTTAAATTAACGCACAAAGCTTAACGCGAAATTCAATACCAACACTAAAAGTCTCAATATGCGTCTTAAGTTGAGTTTTAATAAAATAATTTTTAAATAGTGAATATTTTTTATTTAATGAAATTTGTTTAAAATATTAATGAATTAAATTTTTGACAATGTAAGATTTTGTTTTTAAATTTTTTGCTAAAGACATTATTTATTCAGGTAAGTTAATCTCGAAGTTACTCAAAAAAGTGCCAAAATTAAATTATCTATTTAAAAAAAAAATTTGTTACCATAACAAAATATTTTTAAAATTGCTTTAAGCCAACCAAACTAGACTAAAAATTAAATATTAATGCCGAAAAAAAATTGCTGAATATAATTAAATTTTAATAAATTTATTTTTTAAATCCAAACAATTTTTAATTCATGAATTTTTCTTTTTAATAATGGAAAAATAAGCATTTTTTAGCATAAAATGTTCTTTTAAATAAATATTCGATACATTTTATGGAATTTCATCTTCACTTTAAAGGTTTAAATTAATTTTGAAAACAAAAAAACAATTTTAAGGTTTTCTCATAATTTTGCGGCTTTTTTCGTTAAAAATATGTAAAGTTTTCAATGTCAAAATCTACCAAATTTAGTTACATTTCAGCCTCGTATTTGTTTTTTGCACATTTTACTCACCTCAATACTGTAGGATTTTTTGATAGCGAACATTTCGCGGTTCTTTTGTGCAGCAGCTACGGCCATCATTTTGTAAGTTTTTTGTTTTTTTTTTTACAAATTTACGTATATGAAGCAAATTCAAAATTTATCGCAAAGTGTAAACACTTTTGTTTATAGTTTTATGTTGAGTTTTGTTGTTTTTATTTTACTTAGTAACTGTTCTCAGAAATAAGCCTACGATGCGCACTTTCACTGCTTATTTCACGATTATAACGGTTGGAAAAAATTAATTTTCTTGCCAATTTTCTGTTTAAAAAACTTTGAAGTAGTTTGCTTTAACGGTGATTTGCGTCTATGCAGCTCCAGAAATCACACAAAATTGGTTTATTTGCTATTAAACACAGGATCGACCAATTGATATCCTTAACGGTTTTTCTGTATATGCTTGTTGATTTTTTTCGAAACTTTTCAAACAAAACTTTTCGAAAGAGCTTCTTGTCTTAACTTTTGTATCCTTTGATTTTTTTATTTTTGTGTGTAAATCTAACGATTCAATCGCAGGCAGAAAAGCTAATATATATATTTATATACTTTATTTAAAATTACAACAAACACTGTATTTTCTTTTCTTCGAATTATTTAACAAACTACTTAACTTCTTAACCAAAGTGGCAAGTCTTAAGAGCGGATGATAGCGAATCAATGCGTGCTTGGTGTCCGGCGGCGGCCGCTTAAATACCCTCAAAGCGTGTCGTGCAAACCGATAAAAGAGTCTCCCAGCCGCTGAGCCGAAGTTGAGTTAAGCGCGGTGGCAGCGTGTGCTCTTGGGGTGGCAGGCAGGTGTATGCGCATGTGTGTCTCTGTGTGTGTGTGTGTGTGTGTATGTGTAAAGCACAACAAGTGGTTGCATACGGCGGTGGAGCGGTATTTGGAGCGCGTGCAGACAAGCAACGAGCGTTCAAGTGCTCCTATACGCTTATTACTCATTGTTGTTGTTCTTCCGTTGCTCTCAATAACACAGGTGTTGAAGACGTCATCAGCACGTCAGTCAGCGCTACCATGTTGCGCTCTCACAGCATCAGCAGCAGCAGCATCTCAGCATCACATACACCACCAACCAAGCAACTGTTTAGCAAAGATAGCAACAACAAAAGCAATGGATTTATAATGAAAACAAATAACTTGGCCGTCGGTCGCCTTGATGGGGTTCCCTCACGTTTGCGCACACCAAGTTCAAGTTCCAGAGCGTAAATATTCTCTTTTACTCATTAACCAGTTGCTGACGTTAATCGAAGCATTGGAATCACCCGGCAAAGTACATATATTTCTCAGGCTCAAATTGTTTTTATTGTTTTGTTTGCTATTGGCTGGTGTGATTTTTTTGGTACACACAAACAATCTGACAGCGCAGCCGAGTTTTGGGCTGAGCGCCCTACAGGTGAGCGAGTGAGCGGCTGGCGTAAAGAGGTAAGCTGGTTTAGCACGCTTGCGCGCGTCATCACAAACATCGGCGGCGCGTCATTAACACGATATTCTCAGCGCTGGCTGGCTTTTGGCCGTCCTGTATCACTTGCTAATTTATATTTTTATTTTTATTTCTTCTGTTTACGGCTACACAGTCTCTTATAACATACACTCCCATATGTTATATTTTAATTTTGTTTTGTGTTTTTTTCCTTCTTTTGCGGTGCGTTGTGTATTTTGGGTCATTCCTTCCGAGAAAGTCATCTGAAAATCTCTACTTTAGGCGGGGAATTTTCACAGCACTCCTACTGCTGTAGAGCCAATGACGTGTAGGGAACGGAGCATAAAAATATTCCTCTTTGTGTGTTTGGTCATCGTTTGTTATACTTTTAAGACCACATATAATAATTAAGATAGATAAAAAAACATCTTTTGGTTATTCCAAGAGATCATAAGAACGTATTACGAATTATTAAAAATGATCTATATGGAAATGTACCAACGCTCGAGTGTTAAAAAACCTTTGAAGAAGCTATCAAGCTATCATGCAAAGTGAAGAAAATGCATTAATGGATTGGTACCTCTAACTTAAATGAAGGTGTTTAGGTTTTAGAACTTCAGATGTTAAAAATAAATAAAAAAAAGTAATCAAAAATTTTTCACGAACAAATTTGTTAGTCGAATACCGGATTTTCCTGTAAGAAATGTTATTTTGATATTCGAAGACCGTATCCTTTTCATAAAATTTTCCATTGCCGAATCGCAAAGCGGCTGTTGTATGGCCTCAACAGCTTCCTGAATTTCATCTTTATGATCTGAAATCGACGTTGGCATGTTGGCGTAAATCTTATCTTTCACGTGGTCGCAAAGAAAGCAGTCGCAGGTTTCAAATCACAAGATCTCGGTCGCCAATTGCGATCAACTTTTCGGGAGATAACATGGTCCGGAACTTTTCTTTTAAAATATCGGAATCTGCAGCATTTTCGGAAAAGTAAGGTCCAATCTTTGAATTTCCGAGCCCCAGATGCGACAGTTTTGCTTACTGATGTAGCCATACAGGTGCAATTTGGCCTCATCAGTCAAGATGATTTTTCGATGAAATTCTGAACCATTTTCATACATTCCAAGAACCAAATCAGCAAAGACACGACGTTGTGGATGATCATCCTGCTTGAGTTCTTGTGTTAATTGAACTTTATAAGCCTTAAGACCCGGGTCCTAATACCAAAGAACGACGAGTAATGGACAAACCTGGTTTTCTTTAACACTTTGGGCTACAGCAGCAAAATGATCAGTTATCCTTCGGCCCTGTTTCGAGTCCTAATCCGAGAAACTTTCAAAATATACAAATTTCATTTTTCTAATTATAGTCCTCTCTCGGAAGGGAAAGTTTAGCCATCCATGTGTATTTCAGACATGATATTAAAAAGCTTCTCAAAAAATCCAACGGCCGTAGGAAGCAACTTGAAATAAACTGAAGGTCCGTTTACTGATTTCTATTTAGTTTTACTATCGGCGTTATATATTTATATTTCTTTTGTCAAGCACCCACTTAGGCAAAACCATAAGGCTCTGTTTGAATGCGTTAAACTCTGCTGAAACCCTGTAGGGGCTGATGATCGGAAGATGATTCTAGTACCACCTTCCAGTCACCTATCTAGTTTGGATACGTCCTTCCACACTGTGTATCTTTATCCACCTCTCCACTAACCAACACCTTCTGGGGAAAACAATATTAAGTGATATATTAAAATTAATTTCTGAGGGATTGTGATACGCATTGTTGAGTAAAGACAGGAATTTGATAAGTATAGTATATTGTGCCTTTTACATGTAACTAATAGGAAAGATTTTCTCAGTCTAAGTTCAGATTCCGCTGCCAATTGCTTGCATCACAAGTCTGTGAACAGTAAATGTAGTATGACGTCAGCTGCCTGAGTTGGCGTTGTTCTAAGAATTCTACTGTTACATACGCTAGCTGCTCCTGCTATACTTTCCATGCACGTTGCTGCACATTTTTGTAGAGCCAAAGAGTTACACGAGACGCTATTCCATTAAGGCTAAAGTTTTAGAGCATTCTTCTGTACACTTTCTTCTAAGTTCTTTGCTCATGAGAGCTTCTCTCCCATTGAGAATTTATATATACATAGTACTATTTATTATTGAAACCCGATATTCATTGTTAAGGAATCAATCCTGCGCTTTATTGTGAATCGCTGTGGATCTAAAGCTGCGTACACTGCTCTTCAATGAACACAAACAATAGGTATTAGCGGTCATTTCCCGCAAAAGAGAAATTTTAGGGACATGCAAAAAGATGGCAGTGGGTGTGGTATCACTCGCCAAAGAAAGGAGCTGCATGGAAAGCAGTCAAACCGAAAGCAATTAATAATTCTGAGTTAGGACACGTTAAGGTGATGGGTTGAGGAGTGAACTACCAAGGAGTTAATTAAATTTGCTTTTCGTGAAAAGAAAAAAGTTTCGTACAATAAAAATTAATATGCACTATTATTGTACATTTTGCGATTCGGAAAATATTATTTTTAAAATTTCTAAGTGAGTTCCATAAATTTGTATTTAAAAACATTAAAGGGCTTGTTTAAAACCGATGACATAAAATATAAAATTAAATATTTTTTTAGTAGAATTTAAAATGCTTAAATGAGAAGTAAATTAAAGTTAATGAAATACAAAAGAGAAACGTAGGAAAGTCATTTCTACATTTCTCAGATTAAAAGATGGTTCTCATTCTAAATTTCAGTTCGCTTTTATCTTCCTCAATTCTTTTTCATAAGCTGCGCAAAATACAAGACAAAAAGGAGAAAGAAAATTATTTTCTATTGTTAATACTTTGCTAAAGCAAATTAAGCGTGAAATTAAGAAAAAATTAAAAATATAATAAATAAAAATATTAAAAGCTAAGAACAATGCAAAAGGAATTCAACAAAGTCCGGGTGCTTTAACGCCTTACGGCCAATTCATCCCAGCGCGCTACACGCCATTTCACTTTTTCTAATTGTACAATTATAGAATGTATATTAAATGTATCGGCATGAGTGCATGTGTGTTCATATGCGATAGTGAATCGCAATAAAATATATGTAGCAGCAACTATCCAGCTTAGCTGAAACCACAGGTGGTATATATGTACATAAGTAAAATTTGTACGCCCAAGCATTTTTAAAGATTTTCATCAGCAATACATGCAAATACATACATATACACATGTAAATATGTATAAACAAAATAAATCTGCTAACTATTAAATTGTGATATGAAAGCCTCAAATGGCCGAAAAGCTATTTTTAGCAAATGCGCAAATTATAGTTAAAAATAATTCTTTTTTAATGAAAACAAAGAAAATCGCTAATCACATACATAACTAATTGTGTTCAATATTACATATATTATACGTAATATATATATTCATAATGACTCTAAATATGTTTTCCTACTTAATATCGAAGAATTTCAGCAAACATTCACTTGTCGACAGCCAACGTCGACGTAAATGGGAAATCCGGCAAGCAGGCCACATATTATGCTCGCTCATTACATATGTATGTACCAATGTGTGTTCGTACCTACATACTGGGCGTCACTACTCCAAAGCGATAGTTTATTTATGTATAACTAATAGACAAGCATTACAAATGTTAATGCTAATTATCAATAGGATTTAAAATTATGCTATGACAAAATATTTAAACATATACATACACAAACACATACAAATAAGCACCTACTAGTATGCGATCACCTTGATCACTGCTTGACATTTTCACTTTAAACGTCAATTTTCGAAGGAATGTAATTTAGGAAGTTTCAAATGAGTCAAGAGGGCAGCTTAATATGATTCCCTTTCACTAGGGTGCAGCGAGTTCAAGAACAAAAACAATATACTATTTTTAAATGAAATCTTAATTGTAACTGTGCTGCAATATTTTCTCCTCAAATGACACTCGGTCCCTCGTTTAGCAAGTGTATGGCTTAAAAATCTCAAATAATATTTGTAAAAATTTTAAATTAGAAAGTAAATAAGATTCAATATTAACCTTGTGACAGCAGCTTATTAAAAAATTAGAAGCTACGCACATAGGTATATATATCTACGTGCCCATATTTATGAAATAATGACGAAAACATATTGGCACTGTGCTCAAAAATCAATGCAGTTTTCCTAAATGTCACATATACAATAAGGTCATTACTAAATGATAATAACTTAATTTAAAATTAAATTTTTGTAAGAAT